AAAAAAAAAAAAAGTTAAGGTAGATGATAAAATGTAGGCTGGGGTCTCAATATTGGTCCTAAGAATTGATAAGGCTATGTAAGACTGTTTATTTGCTTTCAACAAGGTAAATACATACTGATCCTCTTTGCAGATTTGCTGCTATTCATGCTGAGGCTCCTGAGTTCGTGGAGATGAGTGTTGAGCAGGAAATTCTGGTGACTGGGATCAAGGTTGTGGACCTGCTGGCTCCCTATGCTAAAGGTGGCAAAATCGGTACGTTAGCCTTGGGTACATATTTTCCAGACCTAATGGGGGGAGAAAAAAAATGCACCATGATGTAAGTGGGTATCTGATGTCTGTCCCTCACTGATGAACAGCTTCTGACTTTCGTTCTTCTGAGTTTGCTGAAGCCAGATGCCATTCCTGAGACGGGAAAAGATGGAAAGAAGCAGTAGAATTTTGAGGTTTGCTTGATACGGGAATGTGGAGCTCCTCAGTATTTGTTCTTGCTCTTTCCTAGGGCTCTTCGGTGGTGCTGGAGTGGGCAAGACAGTATTGATCATGGAGTTAATCAACAATGTCGCCAAAGCCCATGGTGGTTACTCTGTGTTTGCTGGTGTGGGTGAGAGGACCCGCGAGGGCAATGACTTATACCATGAAATGATTGAATCTGGTGTAATCAATCTAAAAGATGCTACCTCGAAGGTAATGAACCACTGAGCTGATTTTCACAAAATAGTTATTCTAGAAAACTTGCCAGTTGAAACTGTTCTGTATCTTCATTTGCGTCTCCTAGGCTAGGAAGAAATTACTGTTAGTGGTTTTTTTCCCTTAACTTCCTTTAATGCACATGGTATTTCCTCTTAGATTATAGTTTTAGATTTTTTTGTTATGCTGAGGATTGAAACCAAGTCTTTGTGTACTAGGCCGGCACTCTGCCACTGAGCTACTCCCTCAGCCTTGGTAGATTGGTAGGTGGTCCTGCTGTTTGTAAGCTGATTTGGAGAAGGGGATTGCTGGTGCTTGCTGTGTCTCAGATACCTATGTTAGATGTCCATATTTCGTATCTTTCACTTCCACATGTATTTGTTGCATCCTACTTCAGGAATTGTGTCTTAGAAATTATGTATTCTGTTTTGAACCGAATATTTAATAGGTTTTTGTTGAGGGGGTATATTGCTAGATTTGAACTCAGGGCTTATACATGCCAGGCAGGTGCTGTCCCACTGAGCTATATCCCCAACCCTGCATGTTATACACAGAAACATTGATAACTTCTGAGAACGAGAGCCTGTGATGGTTCCTATCTAATTGGGGATCTAGGGTTTGTGGCTTCCATCCTCCTGCCAGGTTTTCTGATAAGGTGTGATTATTTCAGGTAGCATTGGTGTATGGTCAAATGAACGAACCACCTGGTGCTCGTGCCCGGGTAGCCCTGACTGGACTGACTGTGGCTGAATACTTCAGAGACCAAGAGGGTCAAGATGTACTGCTGTTTATTGATAACATCTTTCGCTTCACCCAGGCTGGCTCAGAGGTACGGGAAATCATTAGAGGACCTGGTTAATCAGATCTTTCTGTGGACTTATGCAAAATATGCCAGAGGCCGGGCGGGGGAGGGTGGTGGTGGTGCACACCTGTAATCCCAGCACTCGGGAGGCTGAGGCAGGAGGATCGTTTTGAGTTC